TTTGTTTAGAAAAGGGAAACAGTTGCGCAAAGAAAGGGGGATTTGGGGAGTTTGCTTAAAAAAGGGATAAAAAAATTCAGCTGACCTAGGTCTAGTATAGGTTAAGGGTCCCGGGGTCCCAGCGGCCCACCCCCCCCCAAAATTTCCTAAAGTGCCCCCCCCCCCCCCGGGAGTGTACTATCTTCGGCTATTTTGTTTACATTGGCTTCCTAATTTCAGCTTCCAATAATCGGATATCACCAAGCTTGTGTCAACTAATCATTTGATGTATCTAAATATACAATAATTGGTCTAGAAAGCATTTAAAATTTTCCTCCAAAAATACTACCATAATAAAAGAGAGCTGATAGATAACACACAGCTGTATTCTTAACCTATCAATTAGCTTATATGTCTTACATGAAGTCATGATGGCCTAGCTCGCATATTGACATCCCGGTTAATAAAAGCTGGATCACGCGCGCAATCAAAAATTGCAAGGTGGCGGTCCCGTATTCGTTATATTTATTTATCGAGGAGTGACCACAGACCGAATGTTCATTGACAAATGTAGAAAAAAACTCGGAAAAAGTGAGACAATTTGTCCTGACTTAGTGGCAATAAAAGCAATAGCAACACATTATTCGCAGCATGCCAAATTACAAACAGTCCGATGAATTCGTTCAGTGACAATTAGAAGCACGACACGTTCCATCAAAATCAATAAAGTTTATGAATTAAGCGCTTTCAAATTAAACCAAATTGAACGAAAACTGAGAATATTTGTTCTAAGAGCTTAGTCATTGCTTTGAATTCTCCAAAACCGGGATCTTTTACTGATGAAGTGGCTTTTGAAAACAATAAAATCTAACTTACATGTAGTTCACGCAGCTGCCATTTCTTAAAACAGCACTTGTATGGATTGCGAACACTTTGTCGAATGATTGAAGCACAATAAAATATCGAATGGGGCGTTATTAGGCGTAAAGCTCGTAAAAAATTTTAGTTTAAAAATAATCTGAAAAAAAGTAAAACCTCCTACTGAAGTAAAGTGGAATTCCTAGAATCATTCAAGATGGCATCGATTGCGGTGGAATTTGAGAACAGTATGGGCAGGAGTCATCGCTTAACTCAAGTTATTTCAATCAAAGATTGCTTAAATGCTTACCCGCACGTACAAATCTGACAAATACATTTCTTCGTCATCTTGGAAACCTTCCTAGTTATTCTTCAGAGTGAAAGCAACCTCATGATTCTTATAAAGATCTTTCCCGGTATGTTGCTTCATAATACACAAACTTATAGCTTCAGTTGCTATGGCGACTGACTGCTAAGTGATATATTCTCTCTTGGGATTTGTCACGCCTGGCCCCATAAATTGAATAATCTTGTCCCTTTATTTGTTTGAAGTCTGTCAACCGTATTATGATTAATTTCAAATATTACTTTTATTAGAAAAAATATTTGAGGCTATTTTTACATTTAATAGCACAAAATTCTCTCGTTCCCCTCGGCACTCTCAAACATTTTTGCCAGAATGAAAATCCATCCCAATGTTGGCTGTTTCCGAGGAGACAGTGGTAACCCTGCCCAAAGATCTTTCTCGTAGAGCATACAATACTACGGAAAATTGCCCTTCATTACCCTCTTTCTCCCATCCGAAAGAAAAATTTGTCGCAGCTTTCAGCCAATCTGTGAGCAGTTAGGATTATGCCTATGATTAGAGCTAAATGAGTTCAGTCAAGGAACTGCGCGGGGTTGCCATGTCCTTTTATTTTGAAACGCAAACGGATCCAACATAAGTTTTATAATATGAAGCGAAATGACCCGATACAGTAGAACCTCGATAACTCGAATTCCCCCTAACTCAAACTAAATTTCTTTTCCCTTGATCTCAATTTCACTGAAATTTATCCCGATAACTCGAATTCTCCGCTAAGTCGAACTGTTTTTCTTTTCCCTTCACATTGAGTTCGAGTTTAATACCGGGATTCTACCGTAATTCCGGAATTTCGCGAAGAAACCAGCTAATCTTAAAAGAAAAGTCAAGGGATTCTGAAACGCTTTATAGATCTCAAGTTTATTGTTTGGTTTACGCTGGTTTCAGAAAACGGAACCACGTTTATTGACACTTAGAACTTTTTTCAGGTCGACTGCCGGTCAATGTTTTCAAAACACTAAATGACCGGCAGCCCGTTATTTTCAATAAATTTGACTTATCTAAGAATCCCAGCCAATCCAAACTTCATATGGAGACTGAGAAAAGTCGAGCGATCCTGAAATGCTTTATAGATCTCAAGTGTAGCGTTTGGTTTACGCTGCGCTCAGAAAACGAATAGCTGGATTTTTCCGATTTGTCAAATTTACTGAGAGTATTGACTGCCGGTCATTTCAGTGTTTTGAAAACCTTGACCGGTTACCGGACACATAGCCACAGCGTCGCATTTATCATTTTGTTGATAAAAGAAATTTACGGAGTACGTGACCAAGGAGCCATAATCGAGAGGCAACTGTGTTCGCAGACCACGAGAGCTACCCATTCAGTTGAAAAGCGGTCGTTAGGCTCGTAAAAATACATGCCAGGGAGTTTGACCCTAGCGCAATATGCTGACCGCAATATTTCTAGGAAGGCGGCACCGAAAATTACACTTTAGTTTCACCCTATGTGAAAAACCGTCGCTCAATAAAAGGCATATGTAGCTGAAACGCTTGAACAGTCAGCCAGATCTTCTCGGTTAAAGGTGAATTAACCTGCAACTGTGCTGCACTTTTGACGTCATCGGTTGATTAATCGCAAAATTCTTCCGAATTTGGTCAACAGTAGCTGGTTATAAGTCCTGGGTGTTCTGGTAATTTTCTATCACATCCTCAAGCCTTACATATCAAAATGCTATGTTCTCCTCAAAACACTTAAAAAGGAGTGTTCAAAATTTGACAAGCAAATAAATCATGCAAATATTTTTAAAAAATGTTGGATAAGCCATTAAATAATTTCATACAAACAATGCTAAGTTTTTCTCAGTTTTCACCACTGCTAAATAAGTCCCTTGGAGCCAGCTCTTTCTCTACATCAAATGACATATTCAACAAGTCTAGTCCTCAAAATTAAAGGTTATATGATCTACCTTACATGACACTCTGTATAGAATTTTTCAAGCAATGTAGCAATTAAATTAAGCACCATTTCACAGATCAGAATAATGAGTTGGACTCATCCCAAGTAAGTGTACTATCTTCGGCTATTTTGTTTACATCGGTTTATTAATTT